AAATTAACAACCAAAATTAACAGCAAAAATTGACAGTCAAAATTGACAGTCAAAATTGATAATCAAAATTGACAATGGTGAAAATTGACAGTCAAAATTAATGACTAAAATTAATGATGGTTAAAATTGATGATGGTGAAAATTAACAACTAAAATTGACAGCAAAAATTGATAATGGTAAAAATTGATGGTCAAAATTGATGATGGTCAAAATTGCCAATGGTAAAAATTAATGGTCAAAATTGACAACAGTAAAAATTGACAGTCAAAATTGACAATGGTAAAAATTGACAGTCAAAATTAACAGTCAAAGTCAACAACCAAAATTAACAGCAAAAATTGACAGTCAAAATTGACAACCAAAATTGACAATGGTCAAAATTGACAATGGTAAAAATTGACAGTCAAAATTGACAGTCAAAATGAATAACCAAAATTAACAGCAAAAATTGACAGTCAAAATTGACAACCAAAATTGACAATGGTCAAAATTGACAATGGTGAAAATTGACAGTCAAAATTGATAATGGTGAAAATTGACAGTCAAAATTGACAACCAAAATTGATGGTGCAAATTGACAATGGTCAAAATTGAACAATAGTGAAAATTGACAGTCAAAATTGACAGCAAAAATTGATAATGGTAAAAATTGATGGTCAAAATTGATGATGGTCAAAATTGACAATGGTAAAAATTGATGGTCAAAATTGACAACAGTAAAAATTGACAGTCAAAATTGACAGCCAAACTCAATGATTAAAACACATCTTGTGCATCCACAACAGATTCAGCTCATTGAAAACCATCAGTCAAAATTGATGATAATGAAAATTAATGGTAGAAATTAGTGATCAACATTTACAGCCAATAGTCTGCAGTCTCATGCTTTGGAGGAACTGTGTTCTGGTTGGTATTAGTGTTAGCCAATGTTGGTGGCCAACATCAGCAGTTAGAATTAATCAGAAACAGCCAGTATCAATATAAGCACCTTAAATCAAATATATTTAGATGTTCTGCTGCACTATATTTAAAGACTGTGGAGCTTCAGCAGTACCTCAAGCTCCAGACTGGTAAAAGAGACTTAGTATTATTATGTCATGATATATCTTGCATATCTCTGGGCAAGAGAATTCTCTTCTTGAATGAAAGGCCACAGGTGCCACATCAATGATCTCAATAATATTAGTGAATATGCCAGCACAAACTTGGTAGAATGCTAATATTAGCCAGTCACACTGTCATCAGTCTGAAGACTCATTAATGCATCTGACTGCCAAGTATTCAGTATAAACACAACTACAGTGAGAGATACAATAAATGACTTTTAGCTAAAATTACTTTGATTAAATCTAATTACTGATCTATTCAACTCTGCAGAACAAATAATCTAGAGCAAACAGTCATAATTGTTCTATATATCTCTAATAATATTTAGTTATCTTGACAGAAGTGCTGTATGATTCTTAGATGTTTCTTTTTAAATTTCACAGCCATACAGCTACACCAGGTCTCATATTATATTCAGATCAATAATATCTGGAACTATACCAATCTCTCTCTGCAGTAACATGGCTAGTTTATTAAAACTCTTCTGCATTGTCTGCTGGTCAAGAATGTTGCTTTCAATCTGGATATCTCTGTGCACTAGATAGTAGATGTATGTAGCCTTGTTCATCTGTCTATAGCAGCAGATACATGTCTTGTCTTGAGTCTTATCTCTCTTCAACCAGCTTAGGCTCAGCAGAATAAGTCAGAAGACACAAACACAGATATAACTTATATCTAGAATCTTCAGAGTGCTGATCAGAACATCTGAACTTGCATCAGTCTTATTTTCAGATAGTAGCAGATTCTGATTAAAGATGTTAATGCACATGTTTTAGTTCTCAATACTTATATTGCTATAAACTACTATAATACAGTAGTCTTGCTTCTGCAGCTACTATGTGAAAAGTTAGTCAGAAAAGAAAATACAAGAAAAGAGAATACAGTAATCTACTATCTCAAGCATGTGAATCATATAGGAGAATTCTGTCAGAATAACAATCTTTTCTGAATATCTATAATAGTCTCTCTCTATGCTCTGCAGGATGTGTTGAATCATACAACACTTGAAGTTGGAATTGGCCAGAGTATTAATTGCATGAATGTACAGTATCTTCTTGTCTTCACCAGCATGCTATCTGTTCTTCATTATCTTCTTATCAGTAAGCTTGAGCTTATATTGCTCAGTCTTTATGAGATTCAGAATAGCTGAGAAGATAGTAATGATCCAGTTTATGTATAACTTCTTGAAAAAAGTCTGACTAAAAAACTCAGATTTAGATTCTTGACTATACTTTTTTCATTTCTGCAGGCTTCTTATATAGCTGTCTTTTAGTTTTTAAATTTCATACTTCTTACACTGCTGGAGCTTATCTCTGATCTTGAACTCTAGACTGCAGAGAACATCATAATAGCAGTTGGGGAGCAGCTTTATGATAGATTTGTTGAACTAACTTGTTTTGATGGTGCAGCAGATCATCAGACACTTGAGCATCTGATCAAACTAATATACTGCTGACTGAAACTTAATCTAATCTATTCTGGACAGCTGCTTCTTACTGATCAGTAGCTGTACTCTGGCTGAAAGAGTCTTTTATTAATTATGTTGGGCAAATTGCAGTCTGGCATCATTTTCTCATCTAGCAGTGGCCAGTATTATTATTCAGAAGAGCATGTCCATCAGTTCTTTATTATACAGTGTTCCAGAGAGCAGTCAGATGACTGAGATATAGTCTTGCTTTTCTGCAGCTGAGTTAATCTCTTAAAACTATCTGATGATCTTGCTGTCAAAGCTCTTCTTCTGATAATATTTATCTCAGATCACAGCTCACTATTATAATTGCTGGATATCTTGTTTCTGAATATCATAAAGAGATATTATTATACAGCTGGAGAGCAAGCTCAGAGTAGTCAGAAATATGTACTAATAATATTACTGGAGATTCAGATTATGTTGTCTCAGCATCACATACTGTACAGTCTGTATAAATGCATGGCTCAAGTTGCCAATCTTTATGAAAGTCAAGTCTCTATAACTAATAAAGAGATTCAGTTTCAGACAGTTCTCTGAGTCATTAGAAATAGAGTTAGTTCACTCTCTCACTTATAGAAGAAGAAAATCTTTAAGTACTATCACCAGTATTATATCTTGCAGTAGTTGACTTAGACAGTATGCAGTCACCCTATTTAGAATACAGATACACAGAATAAGAAACATATTCTGAAAGAAACATTTTAGATAATATTGCTTTAGACTTTTGTATTCTTCTTCTGTGTCTATAACTACAGAGAGATGCTTGTTAGCTATTACTGGATTCTTACAGCACTGTTTAATATGCAGATAGTTGTAGATAATTCAGATATTCAGAACAAAGTACAATATCATCTTCATGATTTTACTAATTCCCATCTTATCAGCAATAAATCCATCTTACTCTAATTCTTGATTCTTAAGAAGCATCCAGAATGCACAGTACAGCTGGTGAAGCAGAATATCTTACAGCATGTCATGAATAAGAATTTTTCTGATTGAGTCTGTGCCATCATTTTCATTCTGCAGAAGTATGAAGAAACTGATGAAATTCCATTATATTTGGTTGTTCATCTGCTTACATCAAAATCTGTCAGACTTGATAAGTTCCACCAGATCAACTTGTTTAGTGTTGCTCTTATCACTAGTTTGTGGCTTAGATCTCAGTTGTGTTATCTTATCAAGAAACTTATAACCTGTGTTCAAGAGTAAAGTGTTATTACCATTGATTATCTCAATATTCAGAGAGCAGCACTCTTGTTAAATTTTACAGAGTAGAGTTAGTAGACTCTCTTTTTGAATTTCACTGGATGAAGCTGACAGATATTCATTTTTAATTTCACTATTCTTGATTAGTGCTGATGTTGTTCTTGAAACCAGCCACTCAACCACAATATATGCAGGTGTGGAGTCACATTCACAGTCATCTATAATCTGAGTTGAGCCATTCTGAGAATTCTGAGCTTCAGTGGAGACAATGGGCATAGTATCTGGATTTAGTGAATCTATTACAGTGTTCAAGTTTATTAAAGTACCTGGGTAGCTAGCCATGCTATTAATTCCATTGAAGCTATTTTCACAGTTATAATGCAGCTTATCAACAGTCATGTTCACACACATGCTGTTCTGGAGACTATCTTGATTATGTTGAGAGAGAAGACAAGAGAAAGATAGTATGACAGAAAATGATAAGCATGTGATAATCTAGCATCAGCAGATTACAGATATATTATAGTGCTCATTATTATCTAAGGACTCTGTCTCTGGGTCTTCAGACATATTTCTATTTTTGTTGGGGTCAGTGACTGACTTAATTTGTCTTTTTTAAATTTTATACATATAGATGGGCTCCATGTTCCAGATAGTGATTATAAACTTAAGAGTCAGAGATTCATCTGTTTCTTTACTCAGAATCTTCTTCAGCTGCATTATATATACTGATTGCTACAGTTACTTGTTAATAATGGTGATCTGCTTATCTGAGCTCTTGATAATCTGAGAGTTACAATAAAATTCACAGTCAGCATTTAGAATACTCTGCCACTCTATTTAATTCTTCTCAGAGAGTATTTCCTGTCTGTCTAGCATACAATATAATAGTAATTTATTAATCTGACAGATCAATACAGAGCCAGAGACTGTATTTCTGATGAAGATAATAACTCAGTAGAGTTCTTTAGCTGCAGATGTCAGAGACTTGATTAAACCCAGCATATATTATAGAGTGCTTAATATAGTAAGACAGATCTCAAGAGACTCAAGTGCAGAGAGAAAAAACATTAGTCTGGAGACAGCTGTAGCCAACAATAACTGCTAAACAGATATTGGTGAGAAAATTCAGAGACTTATAGATTCAGAGAATAAATCTTGCTAAATATCATACTACTGTTGTCTTGTTTTCTGATACTGGATCTGCACAAGAAGTCACACAAGCACCCCATAAATATTCTTACAGTTAGACTTGCTCTTCCAGATCTGCAGAATCTTGTTAGCAAAGCTTTCTTGAAAAATAGTATACTTTATTACAGTAATCCAGCTCTTCTTCAGCACTCTCTTAGTTACTGCTTGATAAATAAGACTCTGAATCTTCTTGTTATAAAGCTCTTGCATGATTTTTTTCAGATCAAGTAGCTTTTCCACTGTCAAGCCAAGCATAGCTTTAGCATGAGTCTCATTCATTATTATTATGTTGTACTGGAAGAAATATTATGTTAGTGTTTCTTGATCTGATGTCATACAGAAATAAGACAGTGACAGAGTAAATTTTTTTGAATTTTACTATCTTTGTAAAATGAAGCAGAATCTTGACTTTATAATATATAATTCTTAATACTGGACAGCTGCTCAATCTCTTATAATAGTTCTTGACAGTGATTCAGTATCTTCAGATGTTCAGTCAGCTCTAATTTCAGTGCCTCACAATACTTAAGTGATGGGTGTTCTAAACTTACAATACAGCTATAAAATACTGGAAGAGATAATCAAGAGATTTTAAAGTTAATGCAATTGTGGTTGAGAAGATTATCAGAATCAGAAATGTTGTGAGTGAGAAGTAAAGCCTGAAGCAAAGTGTTAATATGAAGAAAATATAAATATTACAAAATCTTTCTGATCTCATAATCACATTGAACTTTCATGGGAAATACTATTTGCTGTAATTAATAACTTATTATTGTTTTTGCTTCTTAGTCTTTTCTCAATTCTATACATCAAAAAGCTATTCAAGGCCTGCTGTACAATATCTTGCTAACTACTGCTGATTCAGCTTCTATCATATTTTCATTGCTTTACTAAGTGCCTGCCCATCCAGATACTACAGCCAAGCAGCATGAGCTGCAGATACTGAATTCATAAAAAATGCCAGCTTAGTGACTACTGCAAGTTCCAGCACAGCCTGTCAATACAAGCATCTGGAGATGACATCTCAAGTAAAATCAAAAAAAAGAAGATAGCTCACTGTAAGTTCTGACTGAGAGAGAACTATATTCAAGAAACAAAATACTGATTCAGACATGTTTCAGCAGAAAAGAGACATGTCTTGCAGAATAAGTATAATAAAGATATAAGCTTAAGAGTTTTATTCTGTAGTAATTTTCTTAATCAGAGCTGACTGAAGTACAGAGTTAGACCACATGTATAAGTATTCTGTCTGTAGAAAGACAATAATACCCACAATCTTTCCAGTACTATCAAACTGCATTTATTATATTTGTTCAGATGAGAGTCTCTGTTTAGTAATGTGCTTGTTGCAACACTAATACTGATGAAGACTTATAGAGTGTATTATAACTATTCAAGAACAGAACAAGAATGAATTGTTCTGGATATCAGATAATAATCTACTCAAAAATAGAGAATGTTGCTCACTGTATTATTCTTCTATCTATTTTGTTGTGATGGCCTCAGTGTGGCCACTTACTAAAGACAAGTACTTAGCCATAATCAAGCAGTATCTGAGATATCAAAAGAAAACATCATGTCAGTTTTTTGAAGTCAGTATTGGGAAATGAAGAGAAAATGAGTATAAGACAGAGTATCTTTATTATTTTTAAAAAAACAGATACTACTTCAAGCACCAACTTTCTGATTCAACTGCTCTCTTCCACTTCAAATGGTCTTTTGTGCAGGCAATAATGAACTAACAGCAGAAGACAAGAAGAGAAAAGATACTAGCAGTGTCTTCAGAGATGGCCAGCTTCATCCAGCCAATGCCAGATATCTATAACATCAACTCTGATAAGAACTCAGAGAATGGAATGCCCATGACTGAAGAAGAAGATCAAGAGCTGGTGATTATAAGACAGACTCTCTCAACAGCTGAGTTACTTACATGAGTTGTTAATAGAGAATTTAAATGAATATGTCAATATATACAGCAGGAACAGAAGAGATGGGCACAAGTAAATTATGAAGAGCAGCTACTTCAGCCATATTGATTCTGATAGTGCAGCACCAACAGTGAAATTCAAAAACTAATAGCTAATGCAGAGATAGAAATTGATTTTAATTTCAAGATTTTGTGCTTGTTTATCTTTCTTCATTTTCTTGATGTAGCAGGGAAATTGACTGCAAATGTTTGCCATTGATTTTAATTATTATCAGTTTTGGCCATTGTAAATTTTGACTGTAAATTTTTACTGTTGTCAATTTTGATTGTCAATTTTGGCCATCATCAATTTTGACCATTGTAAATTTTGGTCATCAATTTTGACTGTTAATTTTGACCATTGTAAAGTTTGGTCATCAATTTTTACTGTTGTCAATTTTGACCATTGTAAATTTTGGTTGTCAATTTTTACTGTTGTCAATTTTGGTCATCAATTTTGGCTGTCATTAATTTTGACCATCAATTTTGACCATTGTAAATTTTGGTTGTCAATTTTGGCCATCATCAATTTTGACCATCATCAGCTTTGCCTGTTGGTAAATCACTAGTAGCACACTTGAACTGTTGGTCTGAGGTTGGTGTCAGATAATTATTTTTCCAACCTAACAAAATTCTGCAACAGAAATATCACCAAATTCACTACAATATCATGCACCTCCTGCAATCTCAATAGATGAAATTGATCCATAATTTTTGGATATCAGAAAGTTCTCACTGGAAGGATTCTTTTAGTGGTACTCTTAATTGAAACTGCCTATTGGTTGTGGAGAAAAATGCATGTAACAGAAATTATGAATTTGGTTAGCATCATTTTTCATGCTAACCTAATTTAAATTTCTGTTACATCCACATATTTGCCAATAATTCAACAACTATCAATTGTATGGATATCAAAGTACCACTGTTCGAATTGTCTTGCTGAGCCAGTTAGAATGAGCCTATTTTTGTTAAAATATATCAGCTTTTGGATGTTATGTTTTAGTCAGTACTTGGCCTATAGATTCTGTTACCCATACACTTCTTTACCCATACCTTCACAACCATTGCTCATGTAAACATGACCCTATCACTGATTAAATGCTTTTACTGATCTGCTTATAATCATCTTACTTTTGTTACAATATTTTAGCTTTTGAATCTTGTATCTTACTTGCTATTTGCTCTATACATTACATATTTGTTCATCTCTCTCTACAATTCTTAATTCTATAAACTTGACACTACTGCTGTTTAAATCATCTTGCTTATCTACTTACAATAACTCTATCTTTGTTACAATATATTAACTTTTGCATCTGCTTAACTTTTACTCTTTTGTGACTTATTATTTGTATATGTTAACTTTTACATCTTTTGTGACTTATTATTCGTATATGTTAACTTTTACATCTTCTTACTTACTTACTATTTGCTTCATAGACACACATCTGCATCAAATCTTACCTGTTAGTGTAGTAGAAATTCTGGTACCTTATTAGAACAAACCTTGTTCCAGTCCAAGACACAAACCACCCAAAAGCTACTATCTCTGAGCTATATAAACTCTCTATAGCCTCTGCATCTTGCTTATTACCTTCACACACCATTACACTTTCCACACACTTGTTCTTTATTACCAGTTTGGTTATTACTTAGAGAATATGAACATTTTTTGTTCATGAAACTTGCTACTGTTTCTCATTAAAGCTGCCTGTGTTAGTACAGAGCTCTTTAGTACTATTACTTCTTATAAGCTTAGATATTCATTAGAACATACCTATCTCTACACTTACTACTTGATCATACCCTTACTATATTGTAATTTTTCACCTTTCTTGCGCTCTCACCATATCAACCAACTTGTGTATCTTGACAAACCATCCCATTGTACTCTGCTTCATTAGAAGAACCAGTTGTACATTATGTAGCTTTTCTCAGGATTTGATGTATGAAAGAGCTAAGTAGATTTAATGCCCACAACTGAAGAAACTTATGCTTAGAATATAAATCTTCTGTAACTTGAAAACTGAATACTGACATTTCCCCAATCTGTATAAATTGTGTTTTTCTTATACATTTAGAGTTGGAGTCATGTGAGTATCTCTGAACATTCAATATCATCTAATGCTTGGTTGATCTATATCTACATTCATAACACTATTCCCCTCCCACAGAGGCCTCAGACTCTGAGACATAGAGCTACTGAACTGATTTTTTATATATTATTATTGTCTCTTTTCTGTCATTGGCAGAGTATTATAAATTTTTGAATATGCAAGCTTTTGTATTTCTACTGCTTGTTTATATAGATATTCTGCATGTATCACTGCTAGTTACAGTAGATACTTTTTGTTGTAGAACAGTAATTATTTTATTATGAAAGTCTAGTATTTTATCATGTACTTATTTCTTCATTTGTTTGTCTGTCTGATTACTATATTGCCTGTTGTCTATTATCTGTTGTTATGTTATTTATCAACAAATTGTAAAACTAGCAATTTTAATGTATTGTGATGTAAGTATAAATACAGAGTTCTTTGCTCTCTTTTTTCTTCTCTTTCTTCTATCTTATCTGGATGTAAGTATTATTATCTATTTGTTAGGAGAACTAGTTGTAGGTTACATGGGTTTTTTCAGAAAGAGGTATAAAAGAGCTAAGTAGATCTGATACCTGCAACTGATAAGAGAGAGTTATGTATAGAATGTAGAGATGCTCTAACTAGGAGACTGAATATTGAAGTTCCCACAATCTGTGCAAATCATATGTTTCTTATATGTTCAAAGTTGAATCATATAAGTATCTCTGGATATCTGATGTCATCCAATGCTTGATTAATCTAGATCTACATTTGTAACATTATTTCCTTCTTGTTAGGAGAACTGGTTGTAGGTCATGTAAATTTTCCCAGAATTAGAGGTATGAAAAAGCTAAGTAGATACAATGCCTGCAACTGATGAAAGGGAGTTGTGTGTAGAATATAGAGGTCCTCTCACTTGGAGACTGAATGCTGGAGTTCCCACAATCTATGTAAATTGTGTGATTCTTATATGTTCAGAGTTGAGATCATGTGAATACTTCTGAACACCTGATGTTGTCTGATGCTTGGTTGGTCTAGATCTATATTTGTAACACTATTTTCCCTTCCACAGATCTCAGACTCCAAGATATAGAGCTACTGAATTGGTTTTTTGTATATTATTATAGCTCCCCTATTATTGGTAGAGCATTATAGATTCTTGAATGTGCAAGCTTCTGCATTACTACTGCTTATCTATATAGATATTCTGCATGTGTATTGCTGCTGGTTGCAGTAGACATTTTTTGTTGTAGAATGGTAATTATTTTATTATAAATATTCAGTGTTTCATCACATACTTGTTTCTTTGTTTGTTTGCTTGTCTGATTGCTATATTATCTGTTGTCTGTTGTCACATTATCTATCAACAAGTTATAGAACTAGCAACTTTAGTGTGTTATGATATAAATATAAATAAAGAGTTTCTGACTCTCTTCTTTCTTCTTTTTCTTCTGCTTTGTTTGAGCTCAGATGTTATTTCTTATTTATTTTATAACTCATCACAATATCATCATTAAAAGACTCTATTATATATAATAAAGAAGATACTCTTCTGTGCTCTGTCTGTATTTACTCAATATTCACAAACTACCTGAATAAAAGCAAGTCTTGTCTATAGAATACTGAGAAGAAATCTTGTTCTTATTGTTTAGAACATCAAATCTGTATCTGTTGTGATGTAAGTGCATCTTTGTCTGTTCTTCTTGTTGTTCTGACATGGTTGTAGATTTCAGAATCTACTGTCAAACTAGTTCATCAGCTCTTGTGACTTTGAGAAGAATACTATAGTTTTGATATAGCTGATCCACATCACCTGTACAATATAAAGTGCATGAGTGTACTCATGCAAGAGTTTTGTGAACTTGACTCTGGAGCCACCAAATACTGTTGCTGTCAGACTACTTCTTGTCTTGAAGAATCTTCTATAAAATACTGTTATCCTGCATCATATTATAAGACCAAAACTGTAGATCTTATATCTGAAATAAAATCTACTAAAGACAGTCTGTCTGAGCTTCTTCATCTAATAATTCCAGTTTGTACTGTCCTGTCTCAGATAGAAAATGAAATTAGAAACATTCAAGTTTTGCTTGATTATTTCACCACTTGTTTAACAGATGAAGTCAAAGCTCTTCAGAGTATTACAGAAAGTAGTCTTGTAGATTTTCTTCACTATTTTCTTTTATTGTCAGACTAATCTCTGTTTAGATCAATCTTACATCTTTCATTAACTTTCTGGCTGATATTATCTTCTCTGGTTTCTGAAGTATTGTAGATGCAATTTGTTCTTCTTGTGATTCTTTGTCTGTTAAGTCTACTTCCATTGCAATACTGTCTGTTGTTGTACTACTGGTTCCAGCAACTCCAGAATCATGTCTGTCTTTAACTGGTTTATCTCTATTATAGCTGTGTTTTGGGTGCTCTCATGATATCTCTTCTTGTTGCTAGTTGTTTGGTTTTATTATGTGTGATGATCTTTAGCATGTCTAGTCTTCTTTTTGTACATAGATTTGTTTGTCTTAGAGTAACTTTGCTTCTTTTGTAGATAATTCTTAAAAATATCTTGTGCATTTTCAAGATTTTCCTCAGATTCCCATATTAATTCCTCAATAGAGAATCCCTTCCATTTCACTAGATAATATTTCTTATGATAGTGCACTTTGTTGTCCAAGATTTTGTCTACTTCCCACTCATAATGGTCATCCACTAGTACTGTAACAGAATGTGTTGGTGTCTCACCCATTCTCATACAGTATGGTTCCAGCAATGAGATATGGAAAATATTATAGATCTGATAGCTTAGAGAGAGCTTCAGTTAATATGTGTTATTTTCTATAGCCTTTATCACTAAGAAAGATCTGTAGTACTTGTTATCTAACTTCTTACAAGAATATATTGTTTATAGATTTCTTGATAACAATATTACTTCATCATCAGATGCATACACTTTATCTTGACATCTTCAGTTATATAATCATGCTTGGTTCTCTTTTGCTTTCATCAAATATTCTACCAGACTATCTTTTAACATGAAGATCATTTTCAGTCTT